CTTAGCTTGCTTCTCAATGCCTGTAACCAGAAGGTTCCATCTGGCTTCCAATGCCCTTAATTAAGCATCTATTAGTTCGACGACCAAACGTGCTACGTGCATGCATGTATGGGTAGTTTCGGTTTTCCTTCCTTTTTCACGTGACGTTGGTGTCTAATAATAAGTTTCCAGTATTTTTCGTCTAATTTGTGATCTTGTTGTACCAATAAATGACTTCATATGTATACTCATACGAATGTTCTTATGGGGAAATTAATGAAGATAATATTTGGGTTTTAATTACTTGTCTGTATGCGCTTCTCTTGTTTATCATAATACATCAACAAATCGAATCGTACACATTTTTTTTTAAAATAAAATTTCATACGAGAGTTAAGTACTTAAACAAAAATACGTCGGATATAGACTTAATCAAGCCTCCATTAACTTAGCCGAGTTACTATAAAGTACACATAAAATTTAGCAAATTGGAATCCCGTTGTTGCAAATTGAAAGTTACGTTGTTAAATGTGATGGTCAGCATATTGTATCTAGGTAGATCCACAAAATAGTGGTATAACTTTGAATAGTATCACTGTTGTTTCGACTGTCCAATTCACAAAACTCCAATGCAATAATGACCAATTTTTCCGTATGGAACAGAATTATAATGACATGAGAAGACCGCGTAGTCTAGAGAATTAGCCATCAGACATCTCGAGTATATATGCCTGTCTTTCAGTGAGGAGGACCCAAGAGAGGATGAATGTTCCAGCATCAAGCTAGCTAGCTAGCTAGGCTGGTTAATTAGTTTATATGGGATATGTAAATCATAATAATTATCACTAGTGCTATACGTATATATAATATGGCTATATTTAGATATATGACTCCAATATTGTGGGTCGCGATGTCGTGGTTTTTAGATTTATATGATCACAAACCAAATAGTAGCTAAAAATCCACCGCAACAACTAGTGATATATAATTTATCATAACAATAAATTGGACCTGTTTGTAAAGTTCTAAAATTGTAGGTGTTATAGTGCAAGATTTAAAAACATAAAGGTACTAAAACATAATTTTATTACCAAAATTATATGGCATTTTTGTAAGAAAATAAAGTTTGGGTATTAAATTGCGAGAAAAAATAATCTTGGGTACTAAAAATCTAAAATATAACTTTAAAAAAATCAGTGTGTACATTTATTTAAGCATACCCACTAACTCTACCCAACCCTACCTAACTAGGGATGTCAATTTCAACCCATCCAGTCGGGCATTACCCAACCCGCAGTAGCGTGTGGCGGGGCATATGGGTATCAACTTTCGTTCCGCCCTGTCACGTCCCGCCCCATTCTTAGCTCATTCTAGGTTAATTTATTATTACGTCATCCATTCATATATCTCATATTTCCCCATGTCTTCAATTAGCTAGACTTGATTTTTCAACTAGATAGACTCCATTACCCATTATATTATCACTATTATTCATTAATGAAGTCTTTTCGCCTTAGTTTTATCCTAAAAAGTAAAATTTTGCGTATATTTTTTTCTAATATCATGTAAAAGTGAGTCAACCCACCCTCCCCGTACCCGCGAGTGTATTACCCGCCCCAACTCATAGTAGGTTGGGTTGGGACATTGGTATTGAGTTACCCGCTCCACCATGGCCCATTGCCATTACTATACCTGACCTTAGAAAGTCATTAATATATATAAAGGTGAAGGTTGGTTACTGTTGCCAAACAAATTATAAAATAGTCACTCCTAACAATTTACAAATTAGTCACTATAATGTACATTTTACATTTTGATGTTGTATCACTCAATTGTATGAGAAGATTCGACCATTTTATATTTTCTCATTACGTTAAATATTAAATAATGATAAAAAGTGACGACACTGAAATATTGCAGGAGCGAATTAACAAACTCATTTAGTACATTTACGAGATAATAAACAAACTTCTCCTAACTATAGGTAACACAATATGTCGGATAAACATAAGCAAGTGTCAATAAATTGCTACAGTGAAAACGATTGACTGTTGTATAGACGGCTAACTAAAGGAATTTGTCAAAATCTTTCCATTATCTACTTCTTCTTTGTTTCATTTTTCACTCGCCTTCCATAACCCTTTCTTTATTTCTTTCTTTGCCTTCTTCGTCTAATCCTAATTAGTATACTATTTTTATGTATTCTAATCACATGTATGAACGGGTCCATACACGACTCTCCAATAGTCTAGAAAATTAATAATTGAACCATGAACCACTAACTTTTTCAGTTCAATGTTGAGTCCAATTAAAAATAAATATATATGATTATTAATTATTAGAAAGTCTTCATTTTTCACAATAGAATTTGAAGGCGTGAAATTTTAATCGAGTTCCAGTTTGTATTCTTTTTGCTTCTCTCTAGAGTTTTTCTCTTTCACTCAGGAAAGAATTTTCAACAATTATACATGGAATAATTGGCAAGGTATCTACACATACCAAATCAATAGTTCCCATTTTTCTATAAAAAAAAAAGTAAATAATTATCATCTTAAATACATCTCCATAAAAGGAATTAAGTCTCAACTATGCAAATTACAGTTATGTACCTAAATTTGATAGATCATTAGATTTATAACTTAAATTTATTTTTTTAGCATATAAGTCCTCAAAATATTGATGGAACATTACATTTAGTACCTAAATTTTTTGTGTATATCATTTTGGTACCTTAACCTTTTAAGTTCTACAAATAGGTCTAATTTTTCTATGTGTAATTAAAACACCCTCGAATAAATGAGTATCCATAACCAACTCATACACATTTAGATTATGGAGGTAAATATCCATATGTTACCCTAACCCATTTACAAATTTTCAATCTCATATATACATCATCCATACCCTACCCCATAATTGATGAGTCTACTTGGGTTTAGGTAAATATCATTTATTAGCCAAAAATTTTATTTTTTGTTTAAATTAGATGTTGGTCATATATCTTTTCTCAGTCAATATCATATTGTCAAGTCAATGTTACTAATAAAACTGCTAACAAAAAATTAATTTTAGGCTAATAATACTAACAAAACACCATAACAGGCCACATAATACATGCCCATAGCCATAGGCCATCTCCGCTCCGCGACAAGGCGCAACATCGCTACCTAGTATATATATATATATATATATATATATATATATAGTGAATAAGGAAATATGTACGATGCGGTCATACAGGATTCTTATAGGATCAGGACGAGCATGGACCAATAGTCCAGTCGATTTGAATACCAAATAAAATAGGTTAGTATAAACTTGAAGGTATCAGTTGGCTTTGATTAAAGTACACAATAGAAAAGGACAATCGTAAATCTTATAATGAATCTCTTACAACTCAAATCATGTGTACGAAGAACTACTTTTATTTTTGTATTTAGCTGATTAGGCATATTTTCTTTTTATCAATCTGCAGACGACTTATATGCAAGTGTTGAAGTTCAAATGGGCCATTATTAATTAATTAAACTATTAACAGCGTAATCTGAACGGAGCTATAAATACCTAATGGAGTAGCACATTGGATCGCGCAATTTATTACGAGACGTGGATACACTAAAGGGAAGCACAAGAAATCATGTACTCCTGGGGATATATGTTTCCGTTGGAGAACTTGGACAACATTTTTTAGATAGGATTCACATATTTTCAAATAAAGTTTGAACAATAAAGATATTTGATGTGAATGAAATCTTAGTGGTTATTTGTAGGAGGAATTGCAACGAATTAATTTAATACACTTGTCTTGATTTGAGACTATTGTATCAAATTGACTCGTTTAATTTGCCAGCAAAATATTTGGATGGATGAATTTGTCTGAGATATTTTGAATTGAGTCGTTTTTAGTCAATTTCAATTGTTTTGAGTGGGACAAGTAATTCGAATTGACTCATTTTAATTGTCTCGTTTATAAAATGAGACAATTGGTAAAAAAAAAAACTGTCTCAGATCCATCAAAATAACCTCTAAATCAAATAGCTTTTACTTTTATGGGAATTTTCCCCGTAAACTACAATTATGGTTACTTTTATGGAGGTTCTGTAGAACTTCAAAACTACAAGCAAGTACTAAGATTACATTACGAAGGAAAGGAAAGATCGACATAGAGTGTCAGCTGTAAATTTGGTATTATTTGTTTCTGCTCGTTCTATTTACATCAATTCATATCCGAAGCAAGTGAGAAAGCAACTCTACTACTTTGGACGTGGCTATAGTGATTTGGAGTTTGACACTAATCTCCAATCATGGGAATTTCCCTGTACGCTTTGGACTATCAGTCGTAGCGGCTGATAGTCAGATTCAAGTCACATCAACATTGGACGTGGCTATAGTGATTTGGAGTTTGACACTAATCTCCAATCATGGGAATTTCCCCTGTCAGATGGCTCCTCTACGCTTTGGAATGATATATGATCCATAATTATACCACTAATTTTAATATTTCGAGTTATTGGGACCAGCTAATTATTGATATGGTATCAGAGCATTTTGTGAGTTCGATGGCTTAATTGAGACCAACTAGTTATTGATATGGTATCAGATTCTTCTGTGACTTAGATATCTCATATTCGAATATCGACAATCCCACTTGTTAAGCACATGATATTCGATCTGTGCAAATTTTAAGATCAGACATGGTAACTTTTGTTTGAGAGGTTTTTTAGTAAGCGATATCGGGTTATAACTGAATCTCTCTCAACCACACAATTATATATAAAATATAGAACCTCAGGCCGCCCTAGCACAAAAAAATTCACGTGGTCGATGGGCACCCTAAAAGAAGGGGGAAACAAGCTAGAGTAATCGTGAGTGTTTGTGTAAAGGCAGACAGCAAAAGCAAATCTCAAAGCACTCCACGAATACATTCACTAACGTTGGACTTTCAAAAAAGGTCGGCTGGCCCCACGCTTTCATGCATGCCTCCGTCTATATAAACCCCGTTTCAGTTCCCCCTTCAATCCAAACCAAACCTAAACCCTCACTTCTCCTAAGTAACCCAACACAGCAAATTAAATGGCATCCTCTTCCAAAACAGCAACTCTTGCGGCTCTCTTCCTCGCCCTTAACCTTGTCCTTCTCGCCTCGTCGGCCACCGCCATGTTTGCGGGGACATGCTCCGCCGATAAGGTGGGCGAGCTGAGCGTTTGCGTTGACCTGTTCCAGTATTTGAAACTCAGGGTTGGAACCAAGCCACCAAGCGATACGTGCTGTAGTCTGTTTGATGGGGTGGCGGCTGATGTTGACGCCGCCGCTTGTGCTTGTGCTGCCCTGAAAGCCAACCTTCTTGGAGCGATCTATGTCGACCTTGCCGCCTCCGTCAAGTTGCTTCTCGGCGAATGCAACAGGGTCGCTCCCGACGGCTTCCTCTGTGCTTAATACATCAAATGATCATATCATATATATGTAGTAAGTATGATGATCATGACTATCAGCGCTGATATTCTGGTAGTGCTTATATATCACTACACGAAAAAGATCCTTTAATCACGGTAAATCCCGTGTTCGAAAGTGTGTTTACCGTGTTTAATAGTTATAGTCACAGGAAACTTACCGTAATATATACCTCCGTGTTTAATTGTAAAGGTCACGGGAAAGTTGTACCCTGACTATTATAACTAGTCACAGTATAGTTACCCGTGATAGTTTGTATCTATTAATCACGGGAATCTCCATGACTGATACCAAATCTTGCCACACAAAACCGAAAAAAACCTTCTTTAAAGACGGGATGTAAGCCTTTTAACACTGTATTTACCGTGACAACATAGTTTTCCATGACTAGATATCAATCATTAGTCACTGTATTTGATTGACTCTTCCATGACTAGATAACAATAGGCCACAGTATTTTTCACTTGCTTCTTTTGTTATTTATAATAATCAATTACTGATTAGATTTGTAGCGGTAATGTACAACCATCAACACTGGAGAGAGACAAATATCCCTATTAATATATTATAATACTAATAGTAACAGAAACAATATTCTACATTGTAACATGATCTTGATGTCACTGTATAATAAATTGATCGATAGGCGACTAAAATAACTAAGAACAAATCAACTAATAGTATGTAAAATCTATACTTCAAACTAGTCTAGAGTTCAAGTTGAAAAATTCATCCCATCCCCTATAGCTTCTACACGATATTATTGAGTAGTTCTTGTCATAATTATCAACTCCCAGCTCGTTAAGTCTTCATGAACCTGAAAAACATAGTGAGTAGAGAATTAAAGTTGGCCCCTGTATGCCAGTCTCATCAAATATGACAATTCATAGCCTCCAAGTCGCAACTCAATAGCAACTACTTAAATGCCAACTCAATCAATTCCAAAATTATAAATGCTTCTTACAGGCAAGCCATTATTAAAAAACAAATAGCAGCCCACACATCAAGACAGCAATGCAAAACATGCAAGTAAAGATGATAGTCTGTATTATAAGATTAAGAAAGGGAAACTTTGTTGTCATAAAAAAACAGATAGAAAAATGCAGTTAAAAAAAATACATGAGCATCATCTAACAAACTGAAAAAGGACAATTAGCAAGCAAGAGTGACCTTACCTACAGACGAATGTCTTGATCAAGTGAGTTAGACCTGTGAAATCACTAACAACAAAGGCATATATAGTATCACAACCAAGGGATCCTGACAGCACAAAAGAAATCAAAACTTATCGTGAATATCAAGTATACGTCATATGAACACAATACTTAATTATTTTATTAGTGAACCTCTCGACTTCTTTACATTAATGAGCAAACAAGGACGCCTGCAAAACAGTTGAAGTATCAATCACTTCATCAAATTCCGCCTCTTGCCATCACAATCAAGAAAACCAGCAACAACCAAAAGGCAATAGTAAAACCCAGCATCCCAAGTTCTGCATTTTTTCGCTTGACAAAGCTTGGCACGTATAAGTTATATGTACACAATACTTGGCATCACCAAGAAAGGATTCTGCATTACTTGTACAACCACCTACTTCCCTGATATAAATCATCATATGGAAAGTAATAGACCTTAGGTTCCTTTCCATTCTAAGAAATACCCATTTGTCTCTACATTAAACCAATATAAAGAAATAAGCCACAAGTCAATACCACAACAAATGAAGATTAGCAGGAGGTCCACAATTACCCATTTGTCTCTTACATGGAGGTCCTGCAACAAGCTTTTTATTCACCATCAATTTCCTAGTCAAATAAACTTCTTCCTGTTACTAGCTTTAGTGTATATGGGAAGACACTGATATTTACCAATCACTACAACTGTCAACCAGAAGTCTGAAATGGGCTTGATGATATCATTTCTCGTACAGACTGTTATTGACAAGCATTCATTTTCTAAAACACAGCATAATTTTCATAAACTACGAAACTTGTTCATGAATTAAAGCCCTAAACTACCATGGGAGGAGCAATACAACATAGTTGGTTGTGAAACTAAACGAGGAGGCCAATTGAGTCCTGCTAATCTATTTGTATCCTGATAATCTCGATGAAAACAAATTGCCAATATGCTGCAAATCAATAAATGACCCAAATCAACAGGAGTGTGAAAGCAAAACCATGACAGATTCAATTGAAAGAGAAAGAGGGGATATTAAAACTAAATACATGGGCATCTAACCTCATACCTGCCTCTACTCCTTTGAAATGCATAACGGAAATATAACCAAATAGATTGTTGCATACCTCCCTAGTAGTAGTAGCACCAGCATCGGCTCCTCTTCGACACCAGCAGGCAGCAGCAGCAGCCCGCCCAACAGCATCAACACCAGCAGCTCCTCTATGATACCAGCAGCAGAACAAAAACCGACTGCTCCTTTTTGACACCAGTAACAGCTCGGCCCTCACTGTACAAGCACCAGCAGCAGAAGGTCGGCCCCGGTAGCAAAAGCACCAGCAGCTCCTCTCCGACGCCAGCAGCGGCAGCTACTCCTCGGCAGCAACAGCCTCGCTCTGGTCCGGCTATGAAGAACATTGGGTAAACAATCGAAAACACATATGGGATTTGCTTTTGATGAAAAAATATGAAGACTTCGAGTTTAGTGGAACGAGCCTTTATCGATTACACCTAATTTGAGAAGAAGAAATAGTTTTCAGATTAGGTTTTGGGTTCCATTTTCTTCCATGAACAAACAGAAGTGATAGAACAAAGAGAAGGGAGGCGTGAAAAGGGAAAGTGAAATCGGTTTTGCCCACATCGTACAAGAGAAGGAAAAAAGGACAAGTGACCTATGAGAGCCAAAATTTTAGTTTTTCTGTCTAAAACAAATTGTGGAATGGAGAGCCAAAATTTTAGATTGTGGAGCTAAAATTCTAGCGCCCAAATTTTCGGCAGCAAAAATGGAGGCGAGAAAAAATACTGGTAGCCAAAATGAACCCCAAATTTCCAAGAGCCAAAATTGGGTTTGCAATGTGTGGAAATTTTTGGGTTTGCAAAATTAAAGAAGTCCCAACTCCAAATAATTAACCAAGTTAAACTTTAAAAAATAAATATTGGAAGGCGTGTGATCGATAAAATGAGAGAGCCAATTTTGAATATAAAATTCCTTCTATATAAAATTAGTTTGTAAAATAATAATAAAAATTCATGTATCTACAATTAACCATGTTAAACTTTTAAAATATATTATCATACTAAATTGAAATCAATGAAATTTAAAATATCTTTCACATTACGACCTAAACTTTAAAATAATAAATTTCCATGTTGATCACGGTAAAAAAAAAATTTCAAGACAAGCCCAAAGGACATGAGACAATGATTCGACTCAAGACTCAATAACAAGACCGATTCAGAATAACCGCGTAGGCAAACAAACTGCCGAAGAAAGAGCCTGTTATGCTTATGCCACTACATGGGCAGCTCCGGGGGAGTTCTGAAGAGCAAAAGACGCGACCATGACTCAAATAATGAGAAAAAGACATTAAGAAGACACAAAGGACATAAAAAGGAAACGAACTCCTCGAAGATCGCTCCGGCCAGCGAATGCGTAGTTTTCTCGAGCAGAGCTTGTTAGATGACCATTTGCAAGTCGTCGTCACAAGTCACATAAAATAAATGCGTTAGACGTCATCTCTCTAACAGACGCATCTAGGCCCCTCAGCAAATTTAGTACAAACAGATAGAATCGAACCATCACCTGATAGATCGACGTAATTGATTGCACTCTCTCGATTGATCTTCATAACACTATAATACCCCGCAAAGTGGTAAGCCAGAATGACAACCACTGTAGTACTAAAAATCTCTATCTCAAGAGATTATAATATACCCTTAGAAATTAGTCAAAATAATCGAATATGCAACACCGAAAAGTGTGATTTATATCTTATTAATCACGTAATTAACCGTGACTAACAATTGATCACGGTAAATGAAGACTGAAAAACAGATAAATTAATTCCCGTGATTGAAACTACACAATTAATCACGGGAAAATATTTTGTGACTAATAGTATACTTCTTGGTACGGAAAAACTTACCGTGAATAAGATCCTATGACTAGAAACCAGTTTTCTTGTAGTGTATGATGAAGTCAAAAAGAGCTTCATAACTACCAGCTGATATTCTGGTAGTGTAATTGGGGCAGCTTATCTTAAGTACTATATATACTGTGTTTTGCAACTTTTTAGGCAACAGTAATTGCTCTTCGGCTTTATATATATTAAAGTAAAATTCTAACATATCCTTTTGTTATACATTTATTTAATACTTTTAATAGTTGGTCAAAATAATTCGAGTTTTGCGGAAAAGTATGTGCATAGATCTTAATCACTTCTTTACACACCCTCTCAACAACAACCAAGTCATATGTTTGAAATTTGCACCAGTCCATCATACCATGTGGGTTTAGACAACAATTAATATTGGAGATCGTGAGTAATTCAATACGTGATCTCAAGGATAAACTAAGCTTTGATGTCATTTCATAAACCAATTGGTATCAATAACTCAAGTTGTTGTGAGATGTCCATATATGGATCTTTACCACTTCTTTGCAATCAATCACCTACCAAAGCAAATTAATGAAATAGTACTTCAAGTCAAAGCATGCATATCAAACTTTTAGTAATGGAGATTTGTATATACGCAAAGCTAATTAATAACCAAAGATCCACTTACCGTTACCTCTATTCCTACGGAGATTCTTTGAGAGCTCCACAACTACTGACTACGACTACAGAGAAGCCTCATGGAGGGTCCCTGGTGCTACTGGTACGAATACGATTCCAGAGAGAGAAATATAAAATTTGATGAGACTTGTTGTGGTTTAATTTTGTCCGTTCCTCCATCAGAAGCATGTTGCCAGTTTTGTTGTGCCTCACCCTCTAACCACCTTCTCTCTTCCCAAAAGCTCCACGTAGCATCCACTAACTCCTCTCCGAGCATCCTTTGCAAGTCAGTTGTTGCTTCTGGTAACCACCTTTGACGCGTAATCATGTCACTGGACAATCACCCTACATACCATGGATGAACAATTAGATGGTCACCATACACACAAAAACTTGGATGGTATCCATGTTAACCAAGACAATAGTCCATGGAGGATAACCAAACTA